AAATAGCTTGCCCATCTACAAAATGTCTTAAATATTCTGAGGCAAACAGCATGAAGGAAGGAAGGCATCGCCTGTTGGCAAAGGTTGTGAACCCAAGCATTTGGATATAGAGCCCCAAATCCCATAGATGAGCATAGCATTCTTAACTTAGGAGACTTAAGGAGTCGGACTTGGGCAGAAATTAATCTCGCTCTGGGTGCAGGCCTCATTGGAGAGTCTTCCTACATGGGCTCCATTGCCTTGCTGGCAAGTATCAAGCATGGGCAGAGCAAGGGACACCAGAAAGCCTTTCATCGTGTCTGCCAGTGATGAAGGAAGGGATGAGATTGTTGCTATTTCATCTCTCCCCCCCATGGACTCTTAAAATTAATTCTACTGTCAAAATTCCCACACCCCAGCTGTGGGTTTGGAGAGAAGAAATGAAGACTTTGAAGCTGAGCGAGAAGATTAAGATAGTATTCTCTAGACCAATGTTCCCCACACAGATGATGGAATCTGTGGAGATCAGAAAAGAGACACACGGGGAACCATTATGGAGAGAAACAAATAGCCAGTAGTAGAAGTGGCCGGCCTGACTCGGGAAAAAATAAGTAAGTAAATAAAATAATGATGGGCAGTGTTTAAGCTTTCCAAGGAATTTTTTCATTTGAGCGAGATTATGAAGAATGAAACACAAACACTGTAGTTAATATGTCTCTTAGCTGGTGTATGTGGGCCTTCCAGAAAAGAAGTTAATAAGCTCTAAGAGGAGCTTTTCAACTTATCCCACTTGACTATCCTGGGGTGAGCTCTGAATCTGTACCTCAGATTCTTTTCCCAAACAAACACAGGAGATTGGAGGCTAGATGCAAAGCTGTATTTACTCCCAGGACACAAAACTTCCTAAGCTCATGCCTGAGCTCTTCACAAATGAACCTGACAACACTGAAATTTCTGAGATTTACTTCAGCTGCACTAAATCCCTAATGATGATGATGATGATGATGATGAAAATTCCCCAAATGAGTCAGTCACGGGGGAGGTAAATCACACATTCTCTATGGAAGTCAGTAAGTCACTGCGAGTGTGACCAGACAGAAGGCCTTAAGGTTAAGTGGGGCACAAGGAGGCCCCTGGAAGATGAGGAAGTTCAGCCGCAAATTGTAGCTCCAAGCCACTTCTCCTTTAAGCAAACAAGACAGAAAAAAAAAATCTAAATATTCTTTAGTTTTTGCAAAGCTCAAGGAAGGGCATGAGTCCATTCACTAACGAGCTCAGAGAGACAGTGTGTAAGTAAATTTTTCACACTCTATGTGTAGGTATAGGACTTGTGAGTTTTTCACACGATACATGTATGTAGCTATGTAAGGATGTGTGTGTTGCTGGCCACATTACAAATAAGGATGGGGCAGTCTATTGAGCAAATTGAGTCGCGCTTGCAGTGATGGTGTTTATGGGTAGCCCTGCCTCCTGGCAGACTCAGTTAATCCCCTAAATGACACCAAGGGTGATTAGGCAGCCTGACAAGCCATCCCACTTTGGAAGACTAAGCCAGTAGGATGGCAGGGTCTCCTCTTTTTCCTTCCAGAGAAACTAGCAACACAAGGCTAGTATGAAACAAATTTTTTAAAGTGTTGATTATATGCCATGTCCTCCCCACACTATTCGAGGTATTGTGACCTGCCATGTCTTATTTGGTCCTCTCTCCAGAGCTGTGGCTTAGCTGCTGCTGCTGGTGGTAATGATGAATTTCTTTCCCCCTCTGCCTAACCTTAAGAGCTTATTTTTCTCAGCTCTTCTGTATTTGGAAAAACAAAAAAAGGAATCTTAATGGAAGCAGCTCTATTTTATAAAATTTTGACTTATTAAAGAAATGCAGGCTTATAAAAAAACAATTGAGATAATAGAAAAGTAAAAAGAAGAAAGCAAAATTATCCTGCCACCCATGCATTTAACCACTGTTGGTATTTTAGTACGTAACTTTTTCAGATGCTTCCTATATGTTTATGCAAGGAAATACAGGCATGTATTTTTAAGCATATTTTTTTAATCTGCTCAATTTTTGTTTTTGGTTAACAGTATATCACAAACACTTTCTACAAAAAAAAAAAAAAAAAAATTCTCCTTGAAGCACTCTTTATTCTCACAGCCGATATTTCATTTTATAAACGTACCAAAATTGATTTACTTGCCCTCTCTGGTTAGGCTTTTTTCAACATGATGCTATTTATAAGCAAAGTGTCTTCCTACTTCATATGCTTTTTTTAAAAAATTGCACAAAAGATGTATATACATCTTTCCACAACTGTCTTATTATTTTCTTAGGAAGAATTTCTAGCAGATGAACTTCTAGATTAAAGGTTATGTACATGTTAATTTGTGTCACATTTGGCCAAAAAATACCTTCTATTTTACTTATATGATGCCTCTACATATTTGTTCTCTCTCTTCCCCCCCACCTCATCTCCCCCTCCCCCTTCTCTCATCAAGTATCTTCTCTATAGTCCAGCTTCCCTATCTCTGCCAGGGGTCTGAGGCTACAGCAAACCACAATTAACCTTCTTAAGCACACACAGGGCCAGCCAATGGAGTATTAACCCATGTACCTCATGTAGATTAGATTTGCTCATGTAAATCTCACAGCAGCCCTAGGAAGATAGAGGGAGGTCTGAATGGCCCCTATTTTTCCACATTTCTGAGGCTCAGAAAGGTCCTGTCATTTGCCTGAGGGCATCCAAGTGGTCTAGTAGGACTCCAAACCCTGCCTTGTCTCCTTCCAGGACACAGAGGTCTTTCCTGAAGAGCCTGGGGACATGCCTAATGAAGGAGTAGGTTGGCAGGATTTTCCACCTGTGTGCGGTGTGTTGCTAGTCGGTCGCCCTTGCTCAGCTGACTGTGATTCAGGACAGCACATACCCTCTGGCTAGAAATAGCAAGGAGGGGTTTTCCAGAAGTTCCTGGGAGTTTCCCCTGAGAACAAACTAATGGTCTTTTTACTCCTGTTTTGGAAATGAGGAAGCCTGCTTTCAAAGTCACCACCATTTCCCACACTGAAACCCCAGACCCGAGCAGATTGCCCTACCCTGGGCCCTTCCCCATGCCTTTCTCTCTGTGGCTCCTGGGGGAGTTGCTCTCTCCCAGCCTGGTTCTGCTTCCCAGGCAGGAGCATGATCCTCTGGGGTCTCAGAGCGAAGTACTCCTGGTCCTCTCATTCCTCCTTCACAGTTGTCTTTATCTGGTGGTGGATAAGCACACTGAAATGTGGCTCAGGGGCTCCAGAGAGGCCTCCACACTCTCTAGCTCAAGGCAGGCGCGTGTGGAAGCATTCACTGTACACAGAGCCCAGCATGACAGGAGCCAGCAGGCATATCCTAAGGGGGGCCACATGGCCAGCCACTTTCTCTTCCTACAAGGAAGAGATTTCTCATGTGTTGTTTTAACAGGTTGATGCCAAATAAATAGAGAGGGAGGAGGGAAGGGAAGATGGCTGAATGTTAGCAAATAAAATCTACAGAGAGCTTCGTGTGGTGGGGAGGAAGTTTCCTACCCTAACAGCTGTGGCAAAAACTTCACTGGAGCCTAGAAAGGAGCAGAGACAAGAGTACAGTGTGACGGCTAGAGCTTGCTCCTCCGCTAGTGCCAAGATACTCCATGTACACACCAGGCTCAGGAAGGCTTTGCAGCATCTTTCGGCCACAGCAGGCCAGTTTGATTCTATATAAAAGGGACTGGGACTGAGCGGCCAGGCGCTGGTGGCTCAAGCCCGAAAGCCTAGCTATTTAGGAGGGTGAGAACTGAGGATCAATGTTGGAAGCCAGCCTGAGCAGGAAAGGCTATGGGACTCTTACCTCCAACAAAATACTCAGAAAAAGCTAGAAGTACTGTGTGCCTTCAGTGGTAGAGCATTAGCCTTGAGCAAAAGAAGCTCAGGGACAGCACCAAAGCCCTGAGTTCAAGCCCCAGGACTGGCTTCTGCCTCTCCCTGAGGATATTGGTATGCACAGACGTTGGATTCCCAGGAATTCATTCCTTCTTTTAGAGAAATGTTTTTATTATCTGACACGGTGCTGGTTCCTTTCTAAAACATGTTGTTGACTAAACACTGCTGATGAGACAATCATCTCAGGGAGGGAGGTGGCTCCCACCCTTTAGTCTCTTATTTTTTAATTGATGGTGGTTCCCATCAATTAAAAATAAGGAAAGCAAGATGAAGATGATAAACACTTCTGAGCATGGCTTGGTGGTAGCTTCCTCTTGTTCTAGTTAGTATCCCCAGGCCAGCCCAGGCAAAGAACAAGAGAGATCCACTGCAACCAACAGACTTGCGCATGTTGAGGCATGTCTGAGGTGCCAGCTACATGGGAGGCATAGGTTGGGGGATTGAGGTACAAGGCCAGCCCTGGGCAAAAACCTAACAACCTAGCTGAAAAACAATTGAAAAGCAAAACAAGGCTGGCAACTTGGCTTAAATGGTAGAGTGTCTGCCCAAGTAAATGTGAGCCCCTGAGTTCAACCTCCAGTACTGCCAAAAGCAAAGAAAAGGAGAAAAACTTCTAAAAACATCCCCAGTGTACCTAGCACAGGGTCTGGCTCCCTCATGGGTGCTTTTCTCAGTCCATTTCCATACCAGTCTTCAGAATATTTTTCTAATCTAACAGATGAAGATGTCGATGCTCAAAAGGTCATTACCAAACCTAAGGAGAAACTAAGATTCAGAGAGATAGCTGTGGAAATAGAAAAAGGGAAAAAAATGTGCTGCCCAAGGAAGAAAACAGTTCTTGTTCTGAGATCTTTGATAGAATGATTGCTTTTGCTTTTATGTGTGCGAGAGATAACACCTCCCACCCCTGCACTCATTCTCTGTGTGTCTCGAACAAAACATCTTCCCCAGACTGCGGGCGTGCCCAACCAAGCACAGTGTGGTCTTTGTTTATCACTGAAACACCTGACCGCCTATAAATGGATGGAGAGAACTGAAGGATTTTCTTCTCTCTCCCGGGCCCCTTTTTGCCCTCCCCTAGGTATGACTTCATTGAGATTCGGGATGGGGACAGTGAATCTGCGGACCTTCTGGGCAAGCACTGTGGGAACATCGCCCCGCCCACCATCATCTCCTCCGGTTCTACGCTCTACATCAAGTTCACTTCTGACTATGCCCGACAGGGGGCAGGCTTCTCGCTGCGCTATGAGATCTTCAAGACAGGTAGTGTGTGCTCATTGGGGATGGGAGCATGTAAAAAAGATGGATAGTGGGATGGAGAGGAGGAATCAAGGCTAGGGGGTTGGAGTCAGGTGGTAAGAGCTGGGCGAGGGGTTCTAGGTCTATCTGGAGACACTTGACATGAAAAGCCAGACCAGGCTGTCATTCAACTTGATGGGGTAGGCCAAGCACTAAGAGATTGGGCGTGGGGGGCTCAGAAAGGAGGAGAAAATAGATGCAAAAGGACTTTGGAGAGAATCTAACTTTTATATCGGAAATTCAAACTCATTGTCATGGGGAGAAGGAATATTTGATTATACTCCTTCCAATGGCTTCCGGTTTAACTTTGCCTTTCTTTGGACTCACATGGAGCTGGAGGACAGAAGCACCATAATCCTCACCCCCTCAAAGTGGGGAAAGGCCATTGTTTTAAAATACAATTTGGGGGGGCTGGGAAGGTAGCTCAGTGGTAGAGCGCTTGCCTTGCATGCCTGAGGCCCTGGGTTCGATTCCTCAGCACCACATAAGCAAAAAGAAAAAAGCCGGAAGTGGCGCTGTGGCTCAAGTGGTAGAGCGCTAGCCTTGAGCTGAAGAGCTGAGGGACAGCACCCAGGCCCAGAGTTCAGGCCCCACGACTGGACCCAAAAAATAAAAAAATAAAAATAAAATAAAATACAATTTGTTGATCCAATTTACCATCGCTATAGAGTGAGCTCCTACTTGTCACAGGCTTGTGAAAGCAATTGAGAAAATAGCAGAGAAAGAGGCAGAAAATGCTGCTGTTGTTGTTCTTGTTGTTCTCCTCCTCTTCCTCCTTCTCTTCCTTCTCCTCCCTGTCTTTCTTCCTCCTCTTCCTCCTCTCTCTTCCTCTTCCTCCTCCTCTTAGTCCTTCTTTTCCTTTTCCTTCACATCTGCTTTCTCTTTCTCCTCTTCCTTCTCTTTCTTCTCCTCCTCCTCCTCCTCCTTCTCCTTCTCTTCTTTCTCCTCCTCCTCTTCTTCTTTTTGTACTGGAGCTTGAACCCAGGGCATAGAGAATATCCTTTAGCCTTTTCTGCTCAAGGCTGTTGCTTTACCACTTGAACCACACCTCCACTTCTGACTTTTTGCTGGCTAATTGGAGATGAGAGTCTTTTGTATTTGTCTGCCTGAACTGGCTTCAAACCACAGTCTTCAGATCTCAGTAATTAGAGGTGTGTGCCACAAACACCCAGCTTTTCTTTTGAGTTGACTGATTACATTGGTGCCCTCTCACCCTCAACCTTAGATCCCTTTAGGCCCAAAGAACACAGACCAGAGCTCATGTCCTTGACTGGGTAGAAGGGACTTCTATTTATAGGACACTGCTTCAGCATCCACACATACAGTCTCCAAGTAGCTGCCCCCTGTTGAGCCAGTGGTCCTGCGATGTGAAGGCTAAGGGAGGCCTAACCTCCAACTCTCCCTCACCCTGCCTGGCTTCCCACAACAGAGGCTCCTGCACCATCTTTAAATGTTTTCTTCCAGCAGTAGCCTGGATAGGGTCTGGTTCACAGGGAAGCTGTCAGCCCTGTCATCAAGAGACCCAAGACCGGCGCCTGTTGAGTTCAATGTGAGGGGAACTATTCATATATATTTTCTCTTTCATTAAACAGTTCTTGAAAGGAAGTGGTAGCTGCTGAAAGCACTTTTTATATCCACTCTGTCTAAATATTTGTCTAATTTGTCTGCGCGAGATGGTGAAATCAAATGAAGGGGTGGGGTCAGGGGAACTGAATTGTACCAGAGTAGGAGCCTGTGCAGTCACAGGATACTGGGCCCAGATTATTCCATGTTGGCTTTTCATGCGTTGGGTTACAATGAGGTCCCAGGAACAAATGGTTTGTGTGTCCAGGCTTCATCCTAGTGTGACCTGTATCCCTTGATGTTTGTTCAAGATGCAGACCAGTGCCACCGGTTCTGATGAGGCCTCTTGTAAAGCAGTGGGAAGAGAAAAGAGGGACAGACTAGAACTAAGTATTGGTCTCTGCTAGTGGGAGAGACTAGTGTGGGAACCGTCAGCACTGGGGATGATGTTGGGTGAACATATATGCAAATTGAAAGGACAATTATACTATGGCTAACTGCTGAGTGAAGGTACAATGATATGCTCTGGGCATAAAAATGAGAGAGCCATTGAGGGACTAGCTCTTTGGAGTCTATCAGATAGCACGGTCCCGAGTAACTGAAGCTGTCACTCAGCAGCATAGTCCTAACTATGAGAGGAAAACAGCCCACTCGAGATCTTCCGGGGAGCTAGCCAAGGGAAGTCAGAGCCAGGGTGAGCCGGGCCATGAGAGATCATCTCTAATCTCAGTGTCTCCCAACTCAGTATTTTATAAGGCATGGTGCCAATTCTCCAGAAAGCCACATGGGGGGAAAAAAGAGGAATGTTAACTCAGTCTATCACGCACACTTGAAAGGAGGATATTAAAAGATAACACACAAGAGGGTATCATAATTCAGTCCTTCTGATGACATGTTGAAGTAGAATTCTGAATGAGCAGCAAATCTGTAAATAGCCTAGAACAATGGTGGCAGCCGACAAAGGTGGGTGGCTTTCGCCTGGAGCAACGGGGTAGCCTGCTCTCATGTCTCACCTCTGGAAGAGCCAGCTGCACTGAGTGGCTGCCCTATCAACAACTATGCTTCTGTAGGTGAGAGTCCAGAGGTCTCCATGGGGCCATCACTATCTGCCCATCTGAACAGCCCCTATAGAGAAGACACACACACACACACACACACACACACACAAGCTCACACCTAGAATCCTAGCTATCCAGGAGGCTGAGATCTGAGGATCCTGATTCAAAGATAGCCCTGGCAGGAAAATTTGTGAGACTCTTATCTCCAGTTAACCATCAAAGAGCTGAAAGTGGAGCTGTGGCTCAAGTGATAAAGTGCTAGCCTTGAGTAAAAATACTAAGGGACAGCATCTAGGCCTTGAGCTCAAGCCCCAGTACCAATACACACACATACACACACACATACACACATACAGAGGAATGTACAGAATGTACAAGGAAGCAAATTCTAACCTAAGAAGTTTCGAAAGACATGTGTTCTTCTTCTAAGTGCCACATCTTCTACCCGTATTTCCACGATTGCAGTCCTGAGAGAAAATACACATTCATAGAACATAAAAGAAATGGGTGGACATGCTGAAGAAATCCAAATAAACACAGCTATGTTTGCTAGTTGGATTCATAAAAAGGAAGAAGAGGGAAACTATAAACACAGATACTCAAACAGCCATACAGAGCATTCTCAAAGCTGCACTGCAGAATTACAGTGACAGATATATTTTCACAGTGTGGGGACCTAGACAGGGCATGTGGCTGAAGTAGAAGGGTCATATCTGCACTTTGTGGGGTATAAAAGATCCTAGATAGTACCAGATCATCCACCACGAGAAGAGTAAGCCCAAACAAACTCCCAAGAGCAAGCAATTTCCACTCACCAAAATCTTGAGAAGACTAGAAGAAGGAATAAATAACTTGGAAAGTAACACTGGAAACAGAATCAGTGGGAAAATGTGTGTGACCTTTGTTTTTCCTGATGCTTCTTGGACCAAAGTTCAAAATCAGGCTTTCTCTCTTGGTGCCCAGTGGCATTTCTGAAAGTGAAATGTCTAAGGCCATTTATAGACACAGGCAACCTGAGGCACCCAATACCCCACCCCTGAATTAAGGGTCTACCTGAATTTACCATCTGTGGTCCACTTTAGATAAAATCCACTGTGTTTCTACATACAGATTCTTCTGCTCACAAAGTTATGAAATGTACAGCGGTCAACATGAAGGGAGGGTTCTTTGTTATGAAATCATTCACTGCCACCCAAACTTCTGACTTGTACGGACAGTTTTAGCATCCAGTAGACTTGAATATTTGTTGACTGAGTTGTTCTTTTGTAAATTCTATCTTTTCAACACATTGCAGAAAAGTATCGTGCATTAGTCAGATTTCTGCATGACTCAACTTCTTCTTTTTTCAACATTTGACTTCCACTCTAATGGCTTGACCGTGATGCAATTAGAGACGAAAGTATGAGCTTAATAAACAAGTTTGAGTTTTCTCTATTAAAAAAAAAAGAAGATAAAACTGAGCTGGGAAGGTGGCTCAGTGGTAGAGTGCTTGTCTTGCATGCATGGGGCCATGGGTTCAATTCCTCAGCACCACATAAGCAGAAAAAGCCAGAAGGGTATTGTGGCTCAAGTGGTAGAGCACTAGCTTTGAGCTGAATAGCTGGGGGACAGCGCCCAGGCCCAGAATTCAGGCCCCATGACTGACAAAAAATAAAGAAAAATAAAAGTAGCGTGGTGCAGGAGTTTGCACCTCTAATCCTTCCTCCTCAGGAGACCAAAAAATCTGATGATTGGGACTTAGAGCCAGGCTAGACAGGAAAGTCCAGGAGACTCATCTCCAATTAACCATCAAAAAGCCAGAAGTAGAACTGTGGCTCTAGTGGTAGAATGTTAGCCTTGAGTGAAGAAGCTATGGGATAGCTCAGGCCCACACGTACACATGCACAAAGATAAAGCTAGATAAAAGCTTTCCTACCTGATCTAAAGAAAGCAGTGAATTTTGTCATTTCTAGTCATATCAGTTAGGTTCACTTTTAGGGCTAGGGAATGCTTAAATTCTAAAGTTGAAACTTCCTTCCAGTTATAAAAGTTGAAAAACTCCCTCTATCTAGTTGAATGCAGGATTCAGAACTCTGGAAATGGAATAAAGTCTCCCATGCTTCAGGCCTGCCTTGGGCTCGCTAGGTGTCACGTGGAAGCCTTGGTCCTCCAACCCCATCAGTGAAAGGGATTCCACCATCAAGCCCCCTGCCCCAGGGGGTTAGAGATTCCCCCAGCTTTCTAAGAGAATGACAATGGCACTAGTTCTAGCAGGGAATGTCAGGGTGCCTTTTCTCCCCCTCAAGCCAGTTGGAAATAGTTAATTTCCACCCAGCCTTGTGTGAGGCTCCCGAAGTAGCCAACATATGAAGAACGCTGCATAACAGCCTTAAACTCTAACCTTTTCAAAATTCCTCTCGGGCCCCCTGAAGACCTGCCAGCTGGCCTGGCTTTGCCCAATTGCATCACCCTGGGCCATTGAGGAGGCCCTCAGGAGTTGGAGGCCCATGGTAAACAAAGCTGAGGGGTAGAGGCCATTCCAGCTCCTCCCTCTGAACCCAGTGGCCCCCTCACAGCTGTGGCCCCCTGCCTCAGAATGATGGGATGCAGAGCCTCTGAGGTAAGATACCTAGAGCCCCCAAAGAACTCATGAAGGTTAGTTCTCGCTCATGAGTCCCCCCGTTCTCACACTGCCAAGGCTGCCACTCAAGGGGCAGCTGATGAATAGATAAATAGGGATATGGCCCTGCCCAAGCTAAAGAAAGTTGGAAGACCCTCTCCTCCCCCACTTATTTGCATGGTACCTTTTTCCAATTGAGACATGCAATGTTCCAGAAAGCCTTCATCAATGAAGAGACTTGCAGAGGAGCTGTCTACAGGAGCAGCACATAAAGACATGGCCGTGGGCTAAGATCAGTATATTGACATCACGTAGTTATATTTCACTACCATCCCCAGAAGATGCTTCCTGCCAGTAAACACCTGGTTTATTAAGAATTTCTGTGGATATTTTTTTCTTCTCTTTTCATGCTTAGAGTGCCTTCTTCATAAATCCTGCTTCCTTTTCTTATTTTAGAACATGAACACAGTGAATAAATCTACTTGTAATTGTCAAGCATTTACATTGACAACACCAGGTCTTGCTCTGTGTAGATTTGGAGGGGCCCTAGGGCCTGATTGTCCCTGCTTCCCAAGACCCATCCCTGGTTCTTCCTTGGCAAATGGTGGCTGGATTTAAAGCCCCAAGAAGGCTCTTTTAGTAAGACTCCACCTAGAGGTATTAAGAGATATGGTAATTGTAATCCTCTTAGAGTTCCTGCTGTTGTCCAAGCCTGCACCAGGCTGAGAATGTGTACCGCATTTAATCGGGATGCTTCCATGTGCCCAGCAAGCAGACACATAGAACTTAGGAGAGAGACAAGGCCATCCTCACCACAAAAGAACCAGAAGCCCTCCAAATGTCAATACACTGCTGCATCTTTCCAAACTTGCGGCTTTAACATCCCCAACACCCCGCTGTGATCAACCGGCTAAAAAACATCGATTGTTAATTGTCTGACCACTACAGAGCAGCTCGTTTTAATATAGTCATGACATGAATAAGACCCGAGCTCCCCTTTGCCCCTCCCCTCAGGCACCTTGGATCTTGGGGAGAGAAGGGGCACTTTAGCTGGCTGTGGTACAATAGGGGCTAGTGTTGAGGTCAGCAATAAATAAGGGGGGACATTGTTTTCCCTGCTGGCAACAAGCAAGCCTTCCTTAAGGATTGAAATAACTTACATTTCTGGAGTGAGCAGCTGAGTGGTTGAGAAAGGAGACTCTGTTTAAGAGAATTCACTCTCTTACACACACACACACACACACACACACACACACACACACACACACACACACTTCTTTCTACCCTCTAGTCCCCCAATTCCTCAATGGCTACTCTTGGTCTAATATACAGAGCCTCCCTAATTTCTCCTAATGAGGGCCTGGCTTGAGGGCATGGAACTCGGATGGGAAGAGTATGTTGCTCCAAGAGCCACTAGGATAGCCATAAAAAATTTAAAAAAAAAACCTTGTGAGTGAGATTTGGGTCCAAATATTTTAATAACCCATATGTCAGAGGTAACAAAGACAGCTTCCTCTTAATCCTATGGTTCTCTTTGGACACACAGGCTCTGAGGATTGTTCCAAAAACTTCACCAGCCCCAACGGGACCATTGAGTCCCCTGGCTTTCCTGAGAAGTACCCACACAACTTGGACTGTACCTTTACCATCCTGGCCACACCCAAAATGGAGATCATCCTGCAGTTTTTGACCTTTGACCTGGAGCATGACCCGTTGCAGGTGGGAGAGGGAGACTGCAAATATGATTGGCTGGACATCTGGGATGGCATTCCCCACGGTGAGTGATGAGGTCACTGTCGCAGGCACTTCTCGGTCCTGGCCTTTGCCTGTGAATTGCTTCCGTAAGGAGGAGAAAGGACAACACACTTCAGAGCTCCTTAGAGCTCTTAGGAACCCATTATGACTTTCTCTTCCTCTCCAAGGATGGTTCTAGAAAAATTACCTGAAGATAGTCTACCTGCCTGGAGATACTTTCTTTGGAGGATGACAGGAGACTGAGTCAAGGATGGGTATTAGTGGTATTCTTTTCCACACCAAGTTATCAGGATAGAAAGTGACTCAATAGCTAACCCCAAGGCCTTAGATGCTAGCATCATCATTGCTGTTACTATAATTTTATTTTTTTGTTAAGCTAGTCATAGATGGATGTTGAGAAGCCGAGAGAAACGTTGTGCATGTCAGGGGGAGACCATAGATCTCTGAGGCCCTCAGTATTGGGAAGGATCAGATCTTTCACTTTTGTAGTGATTCAAATATTTTCCAATATAAAGAAGATGTGATGACTAAGCAAGAGCAATTTCATCTCTGGGGAGAAGCACATAATTTAGTCAAGAAACCAGAGTTTGAGCCCCGGCTCTGCTATTTCCTAGCAGTATGAGCAAGGAAACATTAGATGACCCATCTGAAATTCAATTTCTTCCTCTGCAGAGCAGGTATTATAATGATACCTTTCTGGCCCATCTCCCAGGGCTAGAAGAACAGAATGAAGCCAGCTCAGTGAAAGTACTTTTTAATGTACAGGAAAATACTCAACATCATTCTGAAAGCACGTCTTTGGTTTTTATGGCCAGGCACACGCAGTGATGCTTGATTGAGTGTCGTGTTATGGTAGGATGGATGGAAGAATGTATTGGAAATTAGGTTTGGAATCCCCATGACCGGTGACCTCTCTTTGTCTTGTCTGTTCAGTTGGCCCTCTGATTGGCAGATACTGTGGAACCAGAACACCATCTGAGCTCCGTTCGTCCACGGGGATCCTCTCCCTGACCTTTCACACGGACATGGCAGTGGCTAAGGATGGTTTCTCTGCACGTTACTACCTGGTCCACCAAGAGCCACTGGAGAGTAAGTTGAATGTCTGGGAACCTCCTCTTTGTCCTCCTACCAGGACCTGAAATGGGTACAGGTAAAGGACTGGCCACTGTGAGAAGAGATGGTAACATGACAAACACAGTGGCCTCTTGAGTTCAGAGGTGGGTGCCATGTCCTTCTGCCAGGCAGAGATCAATGACAAAAGAATCAGCATCAACCTGTGCTCATTTCAGGAAGTCTGTCTGTCAAGTTACTATCTTATCATCTATCTATGTATCTATCATCTATCTACATATCTGTCTCCCTAGATTTTATTGTTCCTAGGGAAAGTCTGGAGCTACTCAAACCCCCATCTATTTATGAATGGAAAGTGGGGGGGGAGTAGTTAGGATGATCTATAGAAGGTCTAACATTTTTTTTGAGACTGGGACCATGTTCTCTCTCTCCAAACCTGAAGTCATCATCATACAATGAGCCCTTCTAAACATCTCTGTGGCATATGTATTTTGACATGAAGCCTCTGTGGCCCTGGGTAGGGTTTCTCTAGCTACACAATACAACTGCTTGGATAGTCTGTGTCACACTTCTACGAAGTACAGTTTTCAAGCTCTTATTATGGGCTGAGCACTGTACAAACCACTGCTCTGGCCCTGGCTGTCATGGAACCTGCAGCTCAGGCTATCAGCCTCTAGTCCTGAGCTCTATCTTCAACCCAACTGCTTTTAACCACATGCTTCAGACATGTGCCCGCATCTCCTTAGAAACCCAGATGATCTCTGGAAGGAAGGAAGAAGTAATTTAAGGATGGTGAGAGCTAAAGAACCCTCCTATAGTTGCAGACATCTCTCCACCTATGTAACTACAGACATGGCAACCTGGCCTACTGGAAAGTGGTTAGGTTCTGCTCTGGGGTTTGCTTTCCATATCTTCATCACAAAGTCCATAAGAGACCGAATGACAAAGGAACAGCATGGCAAGCTATAGCACAGTGCAGTCACAGAGATGAAGAACACATTTGATACCTGAAAAAGATTGCTGGTTCTTATCAAACACATGCATATGCAAATGCTGACCTGTATCCACAGTGTCCATACGGAGAAGAGCAATTTAGCTGATGGCACAAGGCCACAGTTAGGGCTTTCGGGGTCTGTTTACCCAGACAAGTAATACAGGGGAATATAGTGTGACACACTTGTGTTTCCCCCAAAACAGGCCTTTATGCTTTGTAATGTCTATCTTCTGTGCCAGAATGCACAAGACTGTTGGATAGAAGAGAGAAATGCAAATGTGCCTCCTGGGTATGCGTTAATAAAGCAGGCTTCCCACCGTGGATCAGCCCACCCAAATTGCCATGAATCTAGCTCGTGTTCACCTGTGTTGCCAGTGCCTCTGGCATCTGCAAGCATCCATAGCCCAAAGCAGGAACAATTCTCATGTTTTAGACAGTATTTTTAATTTGTATGATGATTCTTATTTATCCATCATCTAATTTCTTTTTAGGTCCAATTTAGTTTCAGACCCAGAGGAGTTATTAGGTTCAGTGGCATGATATAGGTTTGTTTTGGGGTGGGGTTTTTTTGGTGATTTTTTTATGTGATTGTGTAATTAGTGTTTTTAAGTTGAAGGAGTACTTGCAAGAACTTGTTCCTAATATCAGGCAATGCTTTGAGGGTCCCAAGGATTTGAGGTTGAGATGCCTAACTCTGCCCCTTGACTTTCCTCACTCCCTCAGACTTTCAATGCAATGTCCCTCTGGGAATGGAGTCTGGCCGGATTGCTAATGAGCAAATCAGTGCCTCATCTACATATACTGATAAAAGGTGGACCCCTCAACAGAGCCGGCTCCATGGTGATGACAATGGCTGGACCCCCAACTTGGATTCTAACAAAGAGTATCTTCAGGTACTTACTCAGATACCAGAAGTGTGCAAATTATGTGTGGTGATGGGACAGTGATCTGGTTCTCAATAGAATTGGATAAAGGTGATACACACACACACACACACACACACACACAGCATACATAAGAACTCTAGCCATTCACTTGCCTAAATATGTATGTATATATACATATATACTTAAATATATACATATATATGTATACACACATACCCATATATATGTGTGTGCAGATATTATATATGTATATATATATATATATATATATGCATCAAAAAGACTATGCCAGGCACTGTGCTATATTCTGTGTTGGAATAAATTGATGAGTAAGTAGGTCCTTGTTCTTGCCCCTGTGGAGATTAATGGGCTTGGAAGAAGTTGTTTGGCTGGGATGCTGTTTGCTCTATCAGTATCCAGGGAACATTCTATAAATAATTCCAGATCTTCCTCATTCTTGGCACAGAGGGGACATCAGAGATGTGGAGGGGGAGCATTTTCCTAAGGGCAGGTTTGTTGGGTGCTAGCTGAATATGGCAACTTCTCCTGATCTTTGCTGTTTAGAAAGAGCTCTGCCAGGAAGGTTTTGCACTTAGCTATCAGAAGAACACATGGGAAAATGTCACTATGGAGAATGAAACTCAAGTTGCCCAGATGCTCTGCAGAGTCTTTTCAGACTATTGTTTGCTTTCTTCCTGAACAAGTCTTGCAGCTCATGTGGAGTAATCTCCTGCACTGCAGACGAGTCCAGTTCTTGTCCCCTGGGAAGAGGTAAACAGGGGAAGAGGAAGCAGCTAGTTCCATACCAAAGTCTGCTTTTAGACCCACACAGACAGCCTTGTGACCCAGTGACAAGACTGTCCTAGCTGTGATGTGACACAATGACCCTTGCTCTGAGAAGAACACTGCAGAGCAGACAGCAGGAAAGGTCAGAGACCACTTAGAAACTCCAGGGAGCCGGTGAAGGTTCTAACAGGACAACATACAGCCATTTGTCACTGTCATTCCTCTCCAGATATCTTTTCATTTTGAAAAACATCCAGAAAGTTCTTTGTAATTGGCAGTCTATTGACTATGCACATTATTTTTGGTCCATAATCACTGACTTTTTAGCATTGCTATCCACCTGATTCTCATACACATAGGTAATACTGCACTCTCTTTTGAATGATTTATGACATTGCACATATTAAGTAGCCAATAAGTGCTTTCTAAATTGACTTTTACCAATGTGCACAGGCTAAATTTTGGTCACACAGAAACTGCCATTAAGAAGCCCCATTCCAGCAAAGGAACAATATCCAGCAATTTCCAAATGACTTTGGCATTGTGAGAGGGGAGGTACCTCAGAATGTGGGCCAGCCTCCTTGTGGAGCAAAAGGTCAGAACTTGGTGCATCAGCCTAATTGCTTGGGCAGATTTTGCATGCCCTTTGACCTCTTGATGACCTGAGCAACTAAAGACACAATGGACTAAGAGAGAGAGAGAGAGAGTAAGGAGTGGAGACAAGAATGATCTGTGACTTTTTCAACTAAGACATTATAAGTGAATTGGACTAGATTGTAGCGGAGCAGATTTAGCCATCCATTGCTTCTTGAAGACAGCTGTGATTTCTCAGTCCCATGGTTTAATAAGGAAGGATCATATTTCTAGGTATTTGATAGGATAATTTGAATATTGTCTATTTATATTTTTTTTTAAAAATCAAGCGGAGTAAAATCAAGTTCTGTTTTCAAAGTATCCTTTCTGATCTCAAATAAGCCAAGTTTAATTTCCCAATGGAATTGTAAACTGATACTAATTACTAATCCATCTCATGAATCATGCTACCAGATTGTAAGCTTTGTATGATCATTGTGTTCTTTGCAGAAAAAGCCAGCTGGTGTTAGAAGGGCGTTGGGAATGGTGGTTCCCTTACTCCTTATTCTCTCTTCTCCAGGTGGACCTGCGTTTCCTCACTATGCTCACAGCCATTGCAACCCAGGGAGCAATTTCCAGGGAAACCCAGAATGGCTACTATGTCAAATCCTACAAGCTGGAGGTCAGCACTAATGGGGAAGACTGGATGGTGTATCGGCATGGCAAAAACCAAAAGGTAAACCCACTTCCTTCGCTCAAAGGAGCTGAAAGATCACAGATGAATGAGATGAGAGGGGCTTTCATTCAACTCAGCCCCACACAGGAGAGAAAGATGTATTTAATGAGGTTCAAAGAACAGACAGAGTCAAGGGACAGCTGGCCCTGAAAAATCTTTCTTATGCTAAAGTGATTGGAAAAACACCATCTCTCTGACAGTCTGGCTGCTGTTGTATCTTGCACAGGATAGGGAGAGAAAGTGAGAGAGGTTAGGGAGTGTTCTTTGACTACAAATGTAGGAGAAAATGTATTCGCTGTCCATGTCTCCCGTACAGGATCCATTGAGCCTTTATGGCCTGAGTCCTTTCCCCATGCTGGGTTAACAATCACAAAACCACATGAAACTGCAGTTTGGGAGTTACCAAGGTCTGGAAATGAAAAGGTACAAATCCTGAGAGGAAATCACAATGTCCCAGAGAAGAAAGAGGACAATAAATAATGAGAAGTTCCGTGTGTCAGGGATGGATCTGAACCAGCAATCATGCTTAGCAGCAAGGCATTGAATGCTCTCAGCTGGTGCCTTTAGCGTCTGAGGCTCCCAGATGTGTGGTCTGTGTGGGTGATGTGAGGCTTTTGTAGAGCACAGGGGATGAGTATCTAACACTTGACTTCCTTAAGCACTTGGCATTCTGGGTCTGCAGCTGGTGATGTGCTGCTTGTACTTCGCATTCAGCATAGGGAAGGTTCAGTCTTGTGGGTGGGGCCAGGGGCTGTGGGATGGGATCACAGGTGGGAGTGGGCTGCTCAGGCTGTGGCGGTTGACTCTCAGGTCAGGAAAGGAAGTGTGACATCTTGGGAACTCCTAGAGGCTGCTCATCCTTCCTGGGGAAGGAATCAGGAGTGAGGAAATTGAGGCCACCTTTTTTTTTTTCTTTTGTACTGCTGTTCTGCTGGCACTGGTCTGTTCAGTTGTGGTATCAATAGAAGGCATATGCAGTCAAAGAGCTTTTCCAAAAGGGAGTCTCCTTAGCTTGTGTAACTGCCCCCAGGCAGTTTGCTCTATGATAGCAGATATAACCAGAAGCCAGCCTTGCATCCAGAAACGCCTGCCCTATAATATTGGCAGCCCCACTCAGGAAATGAGAATTTTTAAAGGAGTTGATTAACACACCATACACACACACACACACACACACACACACACACACACACACTTTAAATCGCCATAGTAACATGGCACCATTCATATGAAAACCATAGTTTCTAGCAATTACCAGGTGTCTCTCATACACACACACATTTTTTCCTCTCATTTTCCCAGTCAAGGAAGTAAGGTGTTTAGCAATGCAATGACACTCTCATCTTGATGTGTGGGTCAGGCAGGTGTGGCTTGCTATGGACTTGGTTTCAGGGAAAGTTGCCACACCAGTCAGGACTGGTAGCTAAACTGGCACTGGGGGCCAGGAAATCCAGGGGTGAGTCCTCATATTACCCGACTGGTTTTTCACTCTCTCTACCTACCTTTGCTTGAAGAATCTGATGGAACCAGAAGCTCAGCTAATGGCTGAGAGCCAGCAGCTGGGTAGCAATGGTCCTTTGAGAGGAGGCTCACCTGACTGTCCCCTGTCCAGGCTCAATGACTAAGCAGCGCTGGCCAGGGGGATCCTGTAGCATAAGCTGATTTTAAAAGCACAGATGGACCGGGATGCTATTTAAAACACCATTTGTAGGAAATCTCCTTTTGGAAATACCTTAGCACTGCACATTTTGATAGAATGCTGTCCTCCTGGCTTTATCCCTGGTATTCATTCTGCAGGGAAGATATTCCTGAGAATTACATTTAGCTGTCTGGTTTCAGAGTCTCATCCTTCTCAGTGTTTTCATGTTGAATATATTCTCTCTCTCTCTTTTGCCTTTTCTTTCCACCCTGGGCTAAAAATTTCTTTCCCCAGTAGCTAATGGATAGCTTAGGGTTTTTTTTTATTGTTGTTGTTGTTATTCTGTTTTGTTTTAGAGAATTGGTTTCATCCACAGACAGGAAGCTGAAGCAGAGGAAAAGCCCACTGCTACTTAGAAAGAGGCAGAGAAATGAAAAGCCTGCCAATTAGGCATTGTCCTAGTCCTGGAACTCCCTTGCTCCACGGTGCATGCGGCAGCCAGCCAGCCCACTTTCCCTCCCTCTTCTGCAAGGGTGCTCTTCACTGCCCTTCATCAGAAGGTTTTCCCCGTATCTGTGTTCAATGTGTAGATTCTGCTCTGCTCAGGGTGCATCCACACAGCATTCATGATTGCTGGACTTGAACTAGTTGAGTGAACCATGCCAAATAGATTTGTCAAGTCTGCTGCTGTTTGACTTGATGGCATGAGCAGAGGACAGGCTGGAGAGGGGACCTGGGGGCAGTGTGGAGGAGGGTTCATCCATGCTGGTAATATCACTGTGTTTCCCTTTGTGGCTTCTGGTTGCTGGGCAGCGTGCCAAGGTAACTGGGGCTACATGGTGGGTTTGAAAGTGAAATTCAGACAGCAGGACCCAAGGAAGAGGGTAGAGCAGAGAAGGAGGCAAGGCGGCAGCCTGTTTGGCTCTGGGGTCCTAGGGGGAGGGATTGTAAACGTCTTCACAGCAGGCAGGGAGTGAAGAAGGGGTTGTGATATTCGGGACAGAAATTTGGAAATTCAATTTCAATTCCCCAGTCACTGTCAACACCAATGCAGCATATCAAAGATGAGGGGGTTAGTAAAATGGGAGAAAAATAAGATGAATGAGCACTCAAGTTTGATGGCGCTTGGGCTATGCTGTGTCCTTGCAAAACAGGCCTTGCAATTGGGGCCTAAACTGGATGAGAGAAGGTCTAAGCCTAGAGGTGGAAGATGAAGGAACCCTCTTTCTATCCAGTGAGGTTGCCTATAAGAAATCTGGTCACACTCTTGTTAGGGATTTTAGCATCCTCCTAGCAAAATGAGTCCTGGTGATGCAGACCACATTCGCAAATCTCCAAGTGATTATCCAGTTCCATATGCTGCCAATATGGAACCTATGATTTTCATACAGGGCGGGTCCTCTTTATGCATATTTATGGTGTAACCACAAGGCGGAGAGCTGGTCTCCTTGATGGAACCCATATCCAGCCCACGTGCTCCCTTAGATTATACAAATTACTTCACATACATTTCTGCAGAAACCACAGTAGAAACTACTGCTTTTGGTTTCACCAGCTGTATAACTAACATCCCAGACATAGGCACATGTATGTTTGTATAGTTACAGACACAATTACCAAGAAATATGCATGGAGAACAATAGAAAGTTCTCAAAGGTATGAAGTCTTGGTCAAGGTCTGAAATTCGGGTCTGTTGAGCCTGCCTGAAGAGTGTGCCTGAGGAACAGAGCCATGACTGGTGCCAAGACAGTGGGCCATTGCCCTTCCCCATGTAAGGGAAAGTCCTTGTCTTGACTTTGCCTTATTTGGTAAATGTGGGTAGCTATGCCTGCCTAGCATAGCTCTGGTTACCTTGCTCTTAAGTCATGGTGTTTCTGGGCTGTTCTCATCTATTTGGGAAAAAAAAAGGAAAAAAAAATAGTAACAAAAAAAGAGAGTCTGTAGACTCTGCTGGCCAGAACAAGGATGGAAAGTTGGAAATTTTAGATGGAAATTTTAGAATTACTCAATAACAGGTGAGGAGAATGTACTAAGCTCATTATAATAATGACTCCAAGGGCCAACCCTCAGGTACCAACCCGGTTGCTTCAGCATTTCATTGTGTTTCAGTCGCTGTGGGATTGCAGCTGCCAAAGACAAAGTAACCTGCCTCAGGGACAGGGAATCTTGGTCCCCATGGAAAGGCTCCTGGGCACCCGGCTTTGCTTTCTACGCTGATGTTCTCCATAATCTTCCCCAGGCCTTGTTTCTCATCTTGCATCCAGAAGGAAATTAGCTTCCTGAGGGCTAAGAGGTGTGCATTTTCCTAGAGTACCTGCCTTCTAATGGCGAGTACTTGGACGGCCTGCCTAGCATATGTGGAGGGGGATTTGGGCTTCATCACAGAACCATGAGGATGGAGAGTTGAAAGAAGTTGCTATTTATTTGATTTGGCCACAGCCCTCCAAAACAAACATCCTACTTCAAAAATGCTTGGGTCTATATTTATTTTCTAAATTAAAACAAATCATTTTTAAATCACAGACTTGGAAAGAAAGGGTAGTATCAAAAAACCAGATGCACACATCCCCAGCTGAAAACAAGTGGCTCATGCCTGTAATCCTAGTTACTCAGGAGGTTGAGATCTGATGATCTTGGTTCAAACACAGCCAAGGCAGGAAAAGTCTGAAAGACTTTTATCTCCAATTAACCACCCCAAAAGCCCAAAATAGTACTGTGGCTCAAGTGGTAGAGTGCTAGCCTTGAGTGGATACAGCTAAGGATAGTGCCTAGACCCTGAGTTCAAGCCCCAGGACTGGTGCACGCGCCCGCGTGCACACACGCGCACACACACACACACACACACACACACACACACACACACACACACACAAAGAGACCACCACCAAATCAGCTAGCTATGAGCACACACACACACACACAAAGAGACCACCACCAAATCAGCTAGCTATGAGTTAGGAGCACGTGCCATCTTATCTTCAGATCTTCTGAAGTGATGCACTGTGTGACCTTGGAAATCTCTCTTCTAGGTTGGTGTCTCAGAGTTTCCCCCCACCCAGATGAAATGGTGCTGCTGCTTCTGCTGCTATTGGCAGGGCACCCACTGAGCTCAGATGGAAGGCTCTCTGCAGATGCAATCAATGGATTAGACCCACAGAGCTGTTCTTGAGCAGAAGCAAGTTGTCAATTTAGAAAGTAACAGGGTCCCCATGGGATATTTATCTGCCTCTTAAAATCATAGGCCTGGAAAGGACCATGAGAAGCCATTCACTTTTCCCTGCATCTAATGGGCCTGCATTTGAGCGACCTCAGATAAATACCACCCCTCCTAACCTAATTCTTTTTGTTAGGGATGCAATTA